ACATGAAGTTCCACTCGCCTCCCGTTGTACCAGGTGAGAGCAGAAATCTTAAAACTTGGGCAAATAAAACCTTTTTTTGCATGACGAGATACGACCAGAGCAGTGGTTCCCAACCTGTGGGCCGGGGGCCCTCTGGTGGGCTGTGAAGGTATTGCAAGTGGGCCGACAAATCATTTTGAAAACGGTACAATTTTGGTGAAAAGATGCAAGTATATAAAAAAAATAGATATAAATGTTTTTGGATCGAAAACATAAAAAAACCCAAAAAAACTTCTCTATCACTGTGATGAGCCAATCATAGGAAGTTTGATATTCTCACCTCCAGACCACATCATGTACTTGTTTGTATCTCAGTCTGATTGAACGCTGAAAGATCACATCCACGGCAAAAACCGGAGAATTAAAACAGATAGCTGGTGAGAAGGACATGCGATCTCTCCCCCTCCAAACAAAAAAGAGAAATTGAGCTTCCTCGGTTCAGTCCTGAATGTTCGATCATCATCATTAAAATAAAAAATGCTCTGAGAACGTATTATTTGAACGTATTGTTACGGGGTTGGATGTGAGCCGCTAACATTTTTGAGATTTTCAGTGATTTGGTAAAGGTTGAGAACCACTGCGCTTGGGCTGAGTAAGAAAATATGCATTCTGTAATTTGGGTGAAACAATCCTTTAAGTGTCTGCAGCATCTAGTACAAGCCAGCCTGTGCACCCAGAGAGCCACAGCTTCATTAAAAGTCCAGAATCATTCCTGCTGAGTGACGTAAAGTTAACGCAGGTTAATGCAGTGATCAGACGTGAGATCCTTCAGAATGTGCCGTCAGCAACAGCAGCCGCTTCTCATCGCTGCACTGCTGTCACAGCGTGGCTGCTTCTCTTCAGCTTTATCGCCACATCATCAGCCAGAGCTCAGGCTCGTGCAGGGACGCTTCAGTTCATCCTGTGCTGCTGCCGCCGCCGCTGCTGCTGCTGCTGCTTCTGCTTTAAATCCGGCATGGAAACAATACTGTGCTCCCTGTTACTGACGCCTGCTAATGTCCCTCTCTCTGTCCACTTCTCTGGTTTGTGGTGCTTCATGGGAGCAGGTGGAGTACAGATTTAAGTTTCAAGACAGGGGTGAAGTTCTCTTTGATATGCTCCCTCGTGATTCGCAGCATCAAAAGATCTCATTTTGGTTTCCTCCTGCTCTCTCTTCTCTCCCTCCATCTTTCCCTTTCTCCAGGGTTCCTGGGGCTCAGGGAAGGACCAGTGCAGCAGAGAGCTGCTGGTCTCCTCCATCTTTGCTGCAGCCAGCCGCAAAAGAAAGAAGTCAAAGGAGAAGCCGCAGCCTAGCAGCTCGGACGATGATCTGGACGCCGTGTTCCCCAAGAAGGAAATCCCTGGCCAGAAGCCGAACCACCACCTCCTCCTCCTCCAGGCTGAGGCGCAGAGCGAGGCTCGTCCTGGTCCCAACGCAAAACCCAACGCCAAGCAACAAGTCCGGGCAGAGGAGAGGAAGGAGAACGGGAGAACTGTGGAGCTGACACCTAAAGCCAAGAGAGAGCACAGAAACTCCTTATTCCTGAAGGAGAAGACTCCACCCAGGCACTCGTCACCTTCCCCCTCCCCGTCCCCGAACATCTCTGGCTCTCCGAACATCAGCTACCAAACGGCTCCTCAAGGGAAGTCCTCCCTGTCCGACCCCCCGTCTCAGCTGGATGAAAACACCTCAGACCTCGGGACCATGAGCTCCGGAGCATCAGTGCCACGCTCAAGACCCAAAAAGTGGACTGCGGGCGCGTCCCCCGACCTGCCTGCAGTAGCGTGCACCGGACTGGGAGCAGGTGCAGGAGCGTCCGCCGGCGCAGAAGTGAGCTCCATCACCTCGGACTACTCCACCACTTCCTCCATCACGTTCTTGACCGGAGCGGAGTCCAGCGCACTCAGTCCGGAGCTGCAGGGCGGGGAGGAGGCAGACGACGAACGCAGCGAGCTCATCAGCGAGGGACGACCCATGGAGACGGACAGTGAAAGTGACTTCCCGGTCTTTGCCCCGGGCGGCGGCAACAGCCAGTCGACGCCCTGCCCAGAGCAGAGTCAGGAGAAGAGTGAAGCAAGAGGGGGTGGTGCAACAAGGGAGGGGAGCACCACGCCAAAACTGGAAGCTCGGCGCCTTTTTCCGTCGCACAGGATGATTGAGTGCGACACCCTCTCCAGACGGTGGTCCCTGAGACAGAAGACAGACAGCGAGTCATCGGTGGAGGGTGTAGCTGGAAGCGGCGAGCGCAGCGAAGGCAGGACAGAGTCTTCCACGCGCTTGTCTCGAGTCCTGGAGGTGATGAAGAAAGGGCGATCCACAAGCAGCCTCAGCTCGTCTTCACGCAGCGAGTCGGAGCGCCCCGAACCGGCCTGGCACCTCAAGATCACCGAGCGGCTGAAGTTCAGGTTACGAACATCCGCTGATGACATGTTCACCCAGAAGAACCGAGCTCCGGACGCCCGCAGCAAGAAGAAGAACATCCGGCGGAGGCACACCATGGGCGGGCAGAGAGACTTTGCAGAGCTGGCGGTCATCAACGACTGGAGGGAGCAGGGCGGGGTGGACCAGGCGGCCGAACTGTCGGCTCTGGACCGCCTCAAGCCCAGATGCTCCTCCGAGGACTTCTCCATCCGGGACTGGATCGCCAGAGAGCGGTGCAGAGGCTCCGAGTCGAGCGTAGAGGTCGCACCAAAAGCCGTGCCTGAGGATGATCACGCGGACGCTCAGGACGTCGATCCTGAAAGACCTCCACCTTCCGCGTCCCCGGGCGCGCAGCCACTAGCGGGGGAGCACGTCAACGGCAGCGGGCTGCAGGGTAAAAACAAAGCGTCGCTCGGGGCAGACGCTCACCCACACAAACTCTCTGGAGCACAAGTTGTCCGCTCGCGGTTCTACCAGTATCTGTGAAACGGCAGGAGCGGCTCTCGTCTCGTGCGTCTGTGAGGAAAAACAAAAAGAGAATGAATGCGTAATCGTACGAATGTGGGTATTTTAGCTAAGGTTACTGCACAATATTTTTTCTACAAAGTATACTTTATGTATCTACTGTACATACTGTGTATAGGCTTCCATGATTGTTACTGGAATAATGCTGAAGAGATGTTTTATGTGTGTAATTCCACTGACTCGTCGGCCATACTGGAACAGACACGGATAAAAACACGGACTTCCTCCTTCGAGACTGAACTCTACTAATGCAAGAATGTGACTTTGCTGTTGACATGTGATGTTGATAGGACAGAAATGGACTCTGAAGGTTGTTACGCAGCACTAATGAAACGTAAAGCGTCGACTTGACTCTTACTGAAGAATGAAGGAGGAAACCTTTTTACTAAGGAATCATGGTTCAGTTCTTCCTATTATAAACGGTATGAAGAATGTATTACTCGCTCCTTTTTTGGACTAACACTAGTTGCTTGTGACAATATTGTCATTTTCAAAAACAATATGTATTTTTTTTTTTTTTTTTTTGCCTGTACTTGAAGTTTGTGGATATAATGGAGGGCTGCTTTCTGAGCTGGGTGCTGTGGGGAAGTTTGTTTTTTTCACAGTACAGTCACAACAGCCAGATATTAGCTTGAGGGACTTGGAGGGTTATTATAGTTTTATCAAATAAAGACTGAAAACAGTAATGAAATGCTGTTACTACAGTATGTAATGCTTGGTACAGTAGTTTTTATTTCCAAACTTTGTCAAGTTATAGTCCAAAAAGTAAGTTTTTACATGTGTTTTTATCTCAAGAAGAAAAAGTGCCTCGTTTTGTTTTTATTTGTTTGGTTTTTTAACTGTTTTTACCAACAGTTGTCAAGACAAGAATGAATTTAAAAACATTTTTAGGGGAGAATAATTTCACAGGCATTCCACAGATTAGTTTTTTTTTCCTGTTTAGTTAAACTCAATTCAAATTTATGTCAGTGTTTGTTTCATTTAGTTTTGCTTCGTTTTTTTCCCCCTTTGTCTTTTCAATGCAGTAAAATGCATGGGCGCTTAAACCTGGGAGAAAAAGAAAAAACAACAAAAAAAAACAGCAAACTTATCTTTGAAACTGCATGAGACAATGTTTTCCTGAACATCTCGCCTGTGTACAGCAGAACATTGGTGCAATGCTCTCCCTCAACAAACACTGGAAATAAATAATCTTTATTAGATTCTCATGTCTGTCTGGTCTCATTATTTTATACGCCTGCAACATCTGGGAATAAGAATAATAGAAATCTTGTTTTTAATCGTTGCCAAATTAAATAGAAATAACATGCACATAAAATAAAAATCAGAAAGTGACATTGGAGTTGATGAATGGTTGACAGCGGCTTGTGACTGGCATGCTCGTTCTGACTTTTTGGTTGTGAAATTTATAGTTATGTTTCAAAGATCAGGATTGTGACTAATCAAATTTCTTTCTAAACAGTATATAAACGTGAGGAATGGAAGTCATAGTGTTTGACAAAGACTACATTAATTAACATTTAAGAATGTCATATCTACTTACAGCTACATTATACACTTCAGAGACAGCTGCGGTTTGTGGAGTAACTGATTGTTTTGTTTTACTTTGGCGCCACCTGGTGGTAAAATGAGGAAGTAGGCTGACACTGGCAAACGGCAGACAAATGGACAAGACAAATGTAAATACATCTCTTGTAAACAAATTCGATGAGGTGCAGTAACTTCTTGAATAACTATAATACATAACGGCTATATCCATCATTTCCATGGCGATGAAGAAGTAAATAAGTGAGAGTGTGCACTGCTGACAGAAGCACACACACTCATAATTCTGTGGGACTTGGATGGATAAATGATTTAACCCTTCACACAGTCTCTACATATACACTATTGTGTGTGTGTGTGTGTGTGTGTGTGTGTGTGGGAATGTGCGCATGATGACAATTACCTAATGAGCTGCCTCGTGCTGTCAGAGTGACGTAAGGTGAACACACACTCACCCTGTGTTTGTCCCGGCTGCTGGTAAAGACTGTGTGTGAGTCTCGAGCTCCTCAGACGGAGTGAGCTGCAGCCTCAGACCTTCACCTGACACACACCTGAGGTAAGAAGAAGTTTCATTTACGGCTTGTGAATTATTCTAAACTGCAGTGTGCGGGAGATGAATGATTATGGTAGTTTTATGGTATAGTTATTTATGGAATATGATAAAGTTTTTAGATAATACTCTGTTGAAACACTGATTGTTTTCGGCTTAACTAGTTTTTCACTTGGTTTTATCTTCTGTGTTCCTGATTCAGTGTTTTATAGAAACATATCACAACAATAGCTATTTCTTTAAAATCAAAGGCTAAAATCCTTTGAGATTATTTTTGTTAATATTTGTTAAACAACAATGTAAAGAAGTAGCTGACTGGTCTATGTGAAGGTACAGGTGTTGTGTTAAACAAGAAGAACAGGTGTGGCAGCATGTGATGTTTTGTAAAGAGACAAAAGATGCTTCTGCATGTGACACAGACAGAGAAATGGCCTGTTTGTTCCACTCCTATCTCACTAGTCAACTGTTTGACATCTCTATAGGGAACAACAGAAGCTGAAATGTAAATGATTTCAGGTATGCAAATATTGTACCTCAACAACCGTCATGGCTTCAACTGGCTTCAGTTAACACCGAGGTTTAACCCTTTACAATGAAGTTATCATGGCCGCCCAACAGAAACAAACACACACACTTCATTCAGGCCTGTGTATACACAACTACACTTCAACTGACTCGACAACATTATAAATAAAAATTATTATTCTTGTTTGTACAAATTAAATAATATAAATAGTTATTATAATAATTATTACTAATACGTATTATAATATTATACCTATATACTCTATATTAACAACTCAATTACAATCAATTTTAGTACCTTAAAAATCACAAAAAAAGCATTTCAGTGTCACATCCGGTCAGTTGCTGATTTTTGCAGCTACAATATTTGAGTTCAAATTTAAATTCATATTCAAGCTTCTGTTATGCTGTGGTATTGTGCATGTGTGGCATTGCTCCATGCTATATACCGATACTTTACAACATTAAATACCGTAAATAAATCTCCCCTGTTCCCCCTGAAGGAACCATGTCTGCTGTCTACCTTCTCCTGCTGCTGCTCCCTCTGGTGTCAGCACAGACCTATCACTGGGGTCCCTGTCCTACCCCCAAAGTCCAGCCCAACTTCAACCTCCAACAGGTAACACACACACACACACACACACACACACACACACAAACACACTGTGTATATACAGTACAAATTATGCAGTGAAATACACAGAACCAATAACGCTCTCTGTCACAGTATCTGGGAAGGTGGTATGAGATTGCAAAGCTTCCTGCGTCCTTCGCAAGAGGAAAGTGCATTGAGGCGAACTACGCCATAAGGACAGATGGTACCATCCAGGTGCTGAACTCTCAGTTCTAGTGAGTATTCATCGACACTTGGGCCGCACGTTTGTGTTAATTCTGGCTGAATATATATGGCCCGTATAACTGTCAAAATGCTACTTGAAAAAATTTGGACCAATTCTGGCGTACACACAGAAAATTCTCCGACTGTCTGACATGGGCCAGACTCGGGCCGATGACCAAGCGTGTAGGGCCAGAAGCTTTCATAAGAAGAGAGTTTTCAGTTTGGGATAATTCACCGCAACTAAACAGTCAATGCAAAGTCAATGCAACCAATGCAGTGGAGTAATGCTCAGTTATGTCTAAATTTAAATGCCCATTAAACAATGAAGTGCTGCACATACCGTTGAGTGATCGAGCGGTGATCCAGTGATCCAGTGCTCTACAGTCGACGCTGGCACCAACACCAATAGTGAAATTTCTACCTGTGCACTACATGTGCTGTGCTACAGGCACAGCACATGTCTACACAGAGAATAACAATAGCACTCTGGTGGCTTTAGCAGCACATTTATTTGTAGTGTCACAGGTTATAACATTAACTATAGTCAAGTTTGTGTGGAGTTTGTGGACCAAAGAACAGATGATGTGGGGTGTAGGGACCCTGAGTTGATGCTCGAAGGCCTGGTGGTCAGTATGGAGTATGTTTATTATTATCAAACAGAAGGAACACTGGATAACCACTTCCTTTTGTGATGAAAGATGATAGAGAATTAATCCTGTCTTTATGAGTGTTTGACTTGAATTATTATTGTTATTTTATTATGTGCTTTGATCCCTCAGTTCAATGAACTTAAAATCCACTCATTTCTTTCTCTCTTCCTCCCTGTGTCTCAGTAAGGACAAGGTAAGGGTGGCAGAAGGGACAGCAATAGTTCAGGACCCGAGAGAACCTGCCAGACTTGGAGTCAGCTTCTCATATTGTAAGTTACTCTTCTTCTTCTTACTCTTTTATCTTCTTCATTGTCTTTGTTTTTGCCATCACTACTGTTCTTAGACAAACCCAACCCCTAACTCTGTCATCTTTTGAAGTCTTGTCTTTCTTTTTATTGCTATAAGTAGTTGAGGGTTTTCGGAATAATAACCTTTCCAATAATTATAGTAGTGAGATCATTACATAGTCCCTTATAAAACTGAACACAAGCACGGAAAAGAAAAGTAAGTTTTTTGCATTGCAGACAGCAGCCCTTCCACTCATCATGGAGATTATGTGGTTAAAGAGCACACATACCTCATGAATGACAATATTATTGGCTGATACATGACACAGCAGCCTCACTGCATTAGTTATGTCAATGACAATGAGCCCGTCTGTCCGTGAAAGCCTTGCATCAGTATTTAGATCTCAGCAGATGTTTGTGTCCTTTTTAGCAGACTTGAGCATCACATCATTGGCACAGCTCTTAAGGTGACGAGGTTCAAATCTCACTGTGAGTGTAAATTTTTAGATTTTACAACGATGATTGATTATCCATCAGGACTCAGTGCTTGGTCCTGTTTTATTCTTTATCTACATGCTTTTCTCTACACATAAGTTACATCTTTATGCAGACGATACTTGCGTTTATCTTAGCTGTGACCTTAGTGGAAATCTCTGTCTAAGCACTGTGGTCCTTACTCCAACTATGTAAATCCTACTGTGATAATCGTGCTCTTGGTCTTGACATCTACCACACCCTGGGTAAACATCTCATTGCATTGATTGAAACTCTTCATTGGAAAAACAAAGTACAATAAAAGATTCTAATCATCATCATTTTTCTCTCTGTGACTTTTGCTCCTAGTCACTCCCTACAGCCCATATCTGGTTCTGACCACTGACTACACCAGTCTGTCCGTTGTGTACTCCTGCACGGACATCCTCCGCCTGTTCCATGTTGAGTACGCCTGGATCCTCGGCAGGTCACGCTTCCTGCCTCCAGAGACGGTGCAGTACGCCAAAAACCTGCTGACCAGCGAAGGCATCGACCTGTTCAGGATGAAGGCCACAGATCAGACAGGCTGCAAGGATAACTAGGGACAGATGGAGTCTCCCATTCACTGAACTGTAACCAAGCACAGTGGATGTGGCAGGGCTTGACACTTATATAATATTAGGGCTGTGCAGTGTAGTATGAACATATTGGGATCATGATACTGTTACAAGAGGATGCAATTTTTTTTCAGAGAGCAAGGTGGTTCAGTCGGACAAGGTGTTGTATATCTGCATCTTAATGTTGTTCTTTTTTACATTTTAGAGTTGCTAAAAAAAAAATTATGGGAAGAAAAAATAAAACTTAATGATACAATTTTAACAGTTATCCATGTTTATTGCAATTTATTTTTATCTCAGTATGATTTGCTTTGATTTCTATTATTCTTCTAGCATCATCAATAGTACAAGAGTACATCCACAAAAACTAGTTCAATCACCATCTTTTTAATATATATCTTTATATTTTAATTCTGTAAAATATATAAAATTTGGTCAAAAAACGTCATAGTATAGTAAGGTATGAAAATGTCAAAAAACATTATAGTATAGTAATGCATGAAAATGTCTTAGTATGTTACGGCATAAAATTCTCAAAAAACATCATAGTATAGTAAGGCATGAAAATGTCAAAAAACGTCATAGTATAGTAAGGCAAAAAAAGTCATTAAAACGTCATAGTATAGTAAGGCAAAAAAAGTCATTAAAACGTCATAGTATAGTAAGGCAAAAAAAGTCATTAAAACGTCATAGTATAGTAAGGCAAAAAAAGTCATTAAAACGTCATAGTATAGTAAGGCAAAAAAAGTCATTAAAACGTCATAGTATAGTAAGGCAAAAAAAGTCATTAAAACGTCATAGTATAGTAAGGCAAAAAAAGTCATTAAAACGTCATAGTATAGTAAGGCATGAAAATGTCAAAAAACGTCATAGTATAGTATGGCATAAAATTGTCATAGTATAGTAAGGCGAAAAAAAAAAAAAAAAAAGTCATAGTATAGTATGGAATAAAAATGTCAAAAAACGTCGTAGTATAGTATGGCATAAAATTCTCAAAAAACATCATAGTATAGTATGGATAAAAATGTCAAAAAGTATAGTATGGCATAAAATTCTCAAAAAACATCATAGTATAGTATGGATAAAAATGTCAAAAAGTATAGTATGGCATAAAATTCTCAAAAAACATCATAGTATAGTATGGATAAAAATGTCAAAAAGTATAGTATGGCATAAAATTCTCAAAAAACATCATAGTATAGTATGGATAAAAATGTCAAAAAGTATAGTATGGCATAAAATTCTCAAAAAACATCATAGTATAGTATGGATAAAAATGTCAAAAAGTATAGTATGGCATAAAATTCTCAAAAAACATCATAGTATAGTATGGATAAAAATGTCAAAAAGTATAGTATGGCATAAAATTCTCAAAAAACATCATAGTATAGTATGGATAAAAATGTCAAAAAGTATAGTATGGCATAAAATTCTCAAAAAACATCATAGTATAGTATGGATAAAAATGTCAAAAAGTATAGTATGGCATAAAATTCTCAAAAAACATCATAGTATAGTATGGATAAAAATGTCAAAAAGTATAGTATGGCATAAAATTCTCAAAAAACATCATAGTATAGTATGGATAAAAATGTCAAAAAGTATAGTATGGCATAAAATTCTCAAAAAACATCATAGTATAGTATGGATAAAAATGTCAAAAAGTATAGTATGGCATAAAATTCTCAAAAAACATCATAGTATAGTATGGATAAAAATGTCAAAAAGTATAGTATGGCATAAAATTCTCAAAAAACATCATAGTATAGTATGGATAAAAATGTCAAAAAGTATAGTATGGCATAAAATTCTCAAAAAACATCATAGTATAGTATGGATAAAAATGTCAAAAAGTATAGTATGGCATAAAATTCTCAAAAAACATCATAGTATAGTATGGATAAAAATGTCAAAAAGTATAGTATGGCATAAAATTCTCAAAAAACATCATAGTATAGTATGGATAAAAATGTCAAAAAGTATAGTATGGCATAAAATTCTCAAAAAACATCATAGTATAGTATGGATAAAAATGTCAAAAAGTATAGTATGGCATAAAATTCTCAAAAAACATCATAGTATAGTATGGATAAAAATGTCAAAAAGTATAGTATGGCATAAAATTCTCAAAAAACATCATAGTATAGTATGGATAAAAATGTCAAAAAGTATAGTATGGCATAAAATTCTCAAAAAACATCATAGTATAGTATGGATAAAAATGTCAAAAAGTATAGTATGGCATAAAATTCTCAAAAAACATCATAGTATAGTATGGATAAAAATGTCAAAAAGTATAGTATGGCATAAAATTCTCAAAAAACATCATAGTATAGTATGGATAAAAATGTCAAAAAGTATAGTATGGCATAAAATTCTCAAAAAACATCATAGTATAGTATGGATAAAAATGTCAAAAAGTATAGTATGGCATAAAATTCTCAAAAAACATCATAGTATAGTATGGATAAAAATGTCAAAAAGTATAGTATGGCATAAAATTCTCAAAAAACATCATAGTATAGTATGGATAAAAATGTCAAAAAGTATAGTATGGCATAAAATTCTCAAAAAACATCATAGTATAGTATGGATAAAAATGTCAAAAAGTATAGTATGGCATAAAATTCTCAAAAAACATCATAGTATAGTATGGATAAAAATGTCAAAAAGTATAGTATGGCATAAAATTCTCAAAAAACATCATAGTATAGTATGGATAAAAATGTCAAAAAGTATAGTATGGCATAAAATTCTCAAAAAACATCATAGTATAGTATGGATAAAAATGTCAAAAAGTATAGTATGGCATAAAATTCTCAAAAAACATCATAGTATAGTATGGATAAAAATGTCAAAAAGTATAGTATGGCATAAAATTCTCAAAAAACATCATAGTATAGTATGGATAAAAATGTCAAAAAGTATAGTATGGCATAAAATTCTCAAAAAACATCATAGTATAGTATGGATAAAAATGTCAAAAAGTATAGTATGGCATAAAATTCTCAAAAAACATCATAGTATAGTATGGATAAAAATGTCAAAAAGTATAGTATGGCATAAAATTCTCAAAAAACATCATAGTATAGTATGGATAAAAATGTCAAAAAGTATAGTATGGCATAAAATTCTCAAAAAACATCATAGTATAGTATGGATAAAAATGTCAAAAAGTATAGTATGGCATAAAATTCTCAAAAAACATCATAGTATAGTATGGATAAAAATGTCAAAAAGTATAGTATGGCATAAAATTCTCAAAAAACATCATAGTATAGTATGGATAAAAATGTCAAAAAGTATAGTATGGCATAAAATTCTCAAAAAACATCATAGTATAGTATGGCATAAATTTGTGAAAAAATGTCATTGTATAGTATGGCATGAAAATGAAAGAAAATGTCATAGTATAGTATGGCATAAATTTGTGAAAAAACGTCATAGTATAGTATGGCATAAAAATGTCAAAAAATGTCATAGTACAGTATTGCATAAAAATGTCAAAAGACGTCGTAGTATAGTATGGCATAAAAATGTCAAAAAATGTCATAGTATAGTATGGCATAAATTTGTGAAAAAATGTCATAGTATAATATGGCATGAAAATGAAAAAAAACATCATAGTATAGTATGGCATAAATTTGTGTAAAAATGTCATAGTATAGTATGGCTTAAAATTGTCAAAAAATGTCATTGTATAGTATGGCATAAAATTCTCAAAAAAAGTCACAGTATAATATGACATAAAAGTGTCAAAAAACGTCATAGTATAGTATGGCATAGAAACGTCTTAGTATGTTACGGCATAAAATTCTCAAAAAACGTCATAATATAGTAAGGCATGAAAATGTCAAAAAAACGTCATAGTATAGTATGGCATAAATTTGTGAAAAAATGTCATAGTATAGTATGGCATAAATTTGTGAAAAAACGTCATAGTATAGTATGGCATAAAAATGTCAAAAAATGTCATAGTATAGTATTGCATAAAAATGTCAAAAAACGTCGTAGTATAGTATGGCATAAAAATGTCAAAAAATGTCATAGTATAGTATGGCATAAATTTGTGAAAAAATGTCATAGTATAGTATGGCATGAAAATGAAAAAAAACATCATAGTATAGTATGGCATAAATTTGTGAAAAAATGTCATAGTATAGTATGGCATGAAAATGAAAAAAAACATCATAGTATAGTATGGCATAAATTTGTGAAAAAATGTCATAGTATAATATGGCATGAAAATGAAAAAAAACATCATAGTATAGTATGGCATAAATTTGTGAAAAAATGTCATAGTATAATATGGCATGAAAATGAAAAAAAACATCATAGTATAGTATGGCATAAATTTGTGAAAAAATGTCATAGTATAGTATGGCATGAAAATGAAAAAAAACATCATAGTATAGTATGGCATAAATTTGTGAAAAAATGTCATAGTATAATATGGCATGAAAATGAAAAAAAACATCATAGTATAGTATGGCATAAATTTGTGAAAAAATGTCATAGTATAGTATGGCATGAAAATGAAAAAAAACATCATAGTATAGTATGGCATAAATTTGTGAAAAAATGTCATAGTATAATATGGCATGAAAATGAAAAAAAACATCATAGTATAGTATGGCATAAATTTGTGAAAAAATGTCATAGTATAGTATGGCATAAAAATGTGAAAAAACGTCATAGTATAGTATGGCATAAATTTGTGAAAAAATGTCATAGTATAATATGGCATGAAAATGAAAAAAAACATCATAGTATAGTATGGCATAAAAATGTCAAAAAATGTCATAGTATAGTATGGCATAAAATTGTCATAGTATAGTAAGGCGAAAAAATGAAAAAACGTCATAGTATAGTATGGAATAAAAATGTCAAAAAACGTCGTAGTATATTATGGCATAAAAATGTCAAAAAACATCGTAGTATAGTATGGCATAAATTTGTGAAAAAATGTCATAGTATAGTATGGCATAAAAATGTCAAAAAACGTCATAGTATAGTATGACATAGAAACGTCTTAGTATGTTACGGCATAAAATTCTCAAAAAACGTCATAGTATAGTATGACATAGAAACGTCTTAGTATGTTACGGCATAAAATTCTCAAAAAACGTCATAGTATAGTATGACATAGAAACGTCTTAGTATGTTACGGCATAAAATTCTCAAAAAACGTCATAGTATAGTATGACATAGAAACGTCTTAGTATGTTACGGCATAAAATTCTCAAAAAACGTCATAGTATA